TCGATCGCTCTACCCATGAGCAAAGTCATCAGAAATGCACATTTCTTCCCTTCAGACTCAAATCTATCGCCTTGATGATCCAAATAGATCCTTACTTGGCGAACAAAGCCTCTACACTGTTCGGCGGTGCCATCAAACTTATCAGGTAGAGCAAAGCTTACCATTTTCGGCGTTAGTGTGGGGAGCGATTGGATGTAATGAGTCAGGTGTTCGTTAACTGCTTGAAGGTTTATGAGTTGTTCCCGGTAACCCTTTAATATCTCACTTTGGTAGGCAAATGCCATTTGCAGGTTAGAAACTTCCGCTGGATTCATTGAGGGCGAAGTATTCTGTAATGAGGATGCTGAGGCCGAGTCTGAATCCATGTGTGGGAGTTTATTGAAGACAATTTCAGTAAACAGTAACGTCAAGGCAGGCAGAGGGTCAAAACCAGAATAACAGTCCAATTCAGTGAACAGGAACGTCAAGGCAGGCAGAAGGTCGAAACCAGAATGACAATCCAATGTAACAACATTTACAGGGGCAATCCAGAAGGCTAAAGTGAACAGGCAGGCAAAAGGTCCAAACACACACATCCGTCCGATCAGGCAAACTAAGCAAGGGGAATAATCCAGGTAAACGTTAGGTCGGTAAACAGGCAGAATCATACACTGAACAGGCAATCAGAATCACAATAGAGAACGCTTGGTAAGGCAGGTTTAACTGGCAATACTTCGCGATGAGCATGAGCACAGTCTCTGGCTATAAAGGAACCAAACAGGAAATGAGTGTAGAGGAAGCAGAGGGAGTGGAACACAGTCAGTACTCGGGTGAGGGCTCCCTCTGCTGGCTTGGCATTACAGTTTGCATCTGGAGTGTTTCATGTCCAGATTGTCCTTCTCTCAACTTATTTCCATGTTTATCCCAACTTTGTTTAAAATTTAAGCCAAATCCCTTTTTATCTTTTTGTGTAGCTGAACTGTAAAAACTTTGAAAAAAAAAAAAGTGCTTTTATCAAAAATAGATTCATTCTGTTTGGTTATGCGTTCTTTTTTCTTTTACATAAACACAAATGCAAACACATTCACATGTAGGCCTACAATTCACACACAAGCACAGAAAGTGTGCTTATGTCATTGTGTTTGTTAGTGGCTTACATTGTAGGAAGTCCTCTCTGGTCCTGGGAACAATGTTACTGTGAGTGACTGTGAAAATAGCAGATATAAACACTCAGAGAGAAAATGATACCTGTATCTATTCCTTAGACATTTCTAACATTTTCTTTATGATATTAGATGATGTTTGTCTCATTACAGAGAGCAGATGAATCTCTAATATTTTACCAGATATCTTTTTCATCTCCTCTTTGCAGAAATCCTCCAGTTTGTGTCTCAGCTGACAGACAGATTCTCTCACACCATCAAAAGAAAAGAGGAAACTGACAGAGATGTTTTCTGTAGATTCAGGAGGAGCTGAGAGAGACTGAAGACTCTGCAGAAAGACAATACAAATGACTCAAAGACCTCATTATCTCACACTGTCCCCAATAACCTGCACTACAGTTGGGCTACCTGCAGGAAATGTATGTGATCGTCTGTGTGTGAAAGCTGCTC